AGATTGGAAAAAATTATATCTATTAATAATTGTATGATTCAGTTGTAAATAAGCAAAACAATAACACATGGTACTTACACTTTATATACACGTAAATTGTCAGACTGGTATCTCATCCTCTCTGGCCAAGCGGTAAGATGCTTGCCTTTTAAACTGGGGGCTCGAGTTCGTGTCCCATACATGGCGAATTTTGTTTTTGTTTTTCCTATATCTGTTGATATTTTAGGTAATCATTCTATTGATGTATAAATTATAATTATTGCACAACATTTTTTTATTTATTTTTCTTTCCAAAATCTCACCTGAGATCTCAGATGAGAATTTGGCATGAGATCTCAGATGAGAATTTGGCATGAGATCTCAGGTGAGAAATCACGTGAGATATAAGATGAGATCTCAGGTGAGATTTGTCAGGAGGGATCCTTCTCGGCTGCTGCTGCTTCACAACAGGTTGGGAACCTCATGAAAAGCATTAACCTTTGGAAATCTAGAAAAAGTGGGGACTCAACTGCATCGGTGTACGCCAAAGTAAGGGAAAATAAATTCACTACAAATACAAAAAGCGCTGCGGCATATTCCGACACCGACAGTCAGGGTATTTCCAGCAGACAAGCTGCCGTTTGTTTGGACGAGACCGTGTGCCCTTGTAGCTAATACAGACGAGAGGACAAGACCTGGCACGCATTGAGTTGCCTTCTATGTTGATACTAGCGGACACGGAGTTTTCTTTGACAGTTATGGGTTGCAACCTGCTGTCTCACATCATGTACGTTGATCGACTTAGACGAAGCTGTATTAGTTACGAGTGGAACGTACAAAAATTGCAGAGTATTGACTCTCGAGTCTGTGGTCATTTCTGTATCGATTTTTGTTCTTTTTGTCTCATAATTATACTTTAAGTATGTTTTGTTCAATATTTTCAAGAACTACATCAACTGATGATGAAATAAGTGTAACTTTGTACAATAAAATTACTAGAAGTAAGAAACTAGAAAATAGGCGCGTTATATCCTTAGCATGTAATCGAAATAAGTCTAGAAATATTTTACTTTAATTAATTTTAAAATATACATCGGGCGTTGAAACACATCACAAAAACTAGACATCTTGCGTTCTATTTATCACTTACATTGTATAAAATTATAACCTCTCAGATTAACAACACTATTTATCAGTGACAACTTGACCTGTATGTATTAATATTATATCACCATACATTTTACACTATAAACAATTATCTGAAGTTTTTACATTGTATTTGTATGTGTATCACTTTATATCTCGCTATGAATAAATTTTATCAACGCCATTCTAAACGACTCATTATTTTCACCTTTCCAACCCACCTTGAACGCCCCACCAGATTCTAAAAACCACGCCAGTCCTCGAAGCCCCGAAAATTCCTCAGCTAGGGACCCCGCTTCTCCCCCTCCTCCAACAGCACGACCAAACACTCACCCCGGGCCCGACCGCCGACGCCAGACGGTAACGTTAGAGGTATCTGGAAATTACTCACTGTAATGTTTCTGAAGGAGACGAAAGGAGAAAGGCCAACAAAAGATGATGGATATGCTGGAACACAGACTTTATTATAGCACTCAGATTACAATTAAAGAGAGACGGCGGAACACACTTGAGATGTTTTCACGTGAGGCACTTAACGCGATCTGACCTGGACGCCTCGTTACATCGATAGATGACTGCTGAGCAGTTCGACCTAACTACTACATATATGTCGACAGGTGGCGCTCGCATTACGTACACGACGCTATTACATATTGCACAATCCTCCCTCACTAGTCTTGAATTACCGTAAAACAAAACCAACTACAATAATTATATATTAAGGCGCTGAGGCGCTTTTCGAACGCGCGTGGAGCGTCGCAGTTCCTCAACGGCCGGCTTTACAATTTTAGCAGCAGTGTCAACTTGTCTAGCCGTTTGTATGGACGACGCGACATTAGCACAATTATTTTCGAATGCCGGTTGTTTGTAAATAGTAGCATTAGCTTCCTGTGCTTCGTTTTCCATGTTTGAGTTAATATTAACGGTGTCGCTCGTTGTCGCCGGCATTACATTATCATGACAGTGGTGTGGAAAAGGTAACTGAATTTTTTCTTCGCATGTTCTTATTTGGTCAACGTGCCTTTTCCACATCTTATTATTATCAGCGCGGACATTATAAGTGACGGGGCCTAACTTATCTATAACTTGTGCTTTCCGCCACTGATTAAAACTAAAATCTTTTGCCATTACTGTATCACCTATATTAAATTGCATATTTCTATTTCCATTAAAGTACAACTTTTGTTTTTCTTGATTTTTAATAACATTTTCTCGCACTGATGCATCAATAGCACTTAATCTAGTTCTAAGTTTGCGCCCTAATTGCAATTCCGCCGGGGAGCAACCAGTCGTACAGTGCGGCGCAGAACGGTATACAAACAAATACCTTACTAACGCTTCGTGCCGAGTCATCTCTTTGGTCAACAACTTGAATTTGCTTTTAAAAGTTTTGACAGCGTTCTCTGCCGCACCGTTTGACGCAGGGTGATAAGGGGCCGTGTTAAAATGTTTGATATTGTTTTTCTTTAAGAATGCCTGGAATTCGGTGGCTGTAAACGTCGGCCCGTTATCACTTACAATGGCAATCGGTAGCCCCCATGTACTGATGTACTCTTTTAAGACTTTAATTGTAGAGGATGCTGTAATGTTATTCATTTCACGTATGTCTATCCACTTAGAGTACGCATCAGTTATAATCAAATACATATGCCCGTCAATAGGTCCGCAAAAATCAACGTGTACTCTTTCATTCGGCGCCTCGGGCCACTTCCAAGTATGTAAGATCGAGCGTGGTGGGTTAGTACCATATTGCAAGCATAGTTCACACGATTTTGCCGTGTTTTCGATCATTTTATCTATTCCCGGCCACCATACAAAAGACCTGGCCTGAGCCTTCATTTTCACTATGCCCATATGGGCACTATGTAACTCGCCCAACACGCTCTCGATCACAGTAGTCGGAATGACAATTCGATGGCCCCAGAAAATGCAGTCATTTTCAAGAGTTAGCTCTAATTGTCTATTTTTATATGGTTGTAGTTTTTCTTCAACATTTAACGGCCAGCCTTCTATTAAAAAGTTTCGCACTTTAATCAAAACAGGATCTTTTAGGGTTTCTTGCCGAATTATATTAACATCAATCAAATTAGATTCTTCTGAAACAAAATTTAAAAAACTGTAATCTTCACGTTCTGCGTTATTAGGATCGGCCTTGAAATTATCAATCAACATTCGCGACAACGCGTCAGCTGGCCCGTTTTCCGTACCCTTAATGTGTCGAATTTCGAAATCATACCCTGATAAAATAACGGCCCAGCGTTGAACCCGACTCGCTGCCATTTGTGGTATACCCTTCTTTTTCCCGAAGATATACGTCAGTGGTTTATGGTCCGTTTCAAGGATAAACGGTCGGCCATAAACGTATTGGTGAAATGCTTTTACACCGAACACTAAGGCTAAGGCTTCTCTATCCAATTGAGAGTAATTTTTTTCAGCGCTGTTTAGTACCCTTGAGGCAAAAGCCACATGTTTAATTTTGCCTGATGGAAAGATGTGGGATAGTACGGCACCGAGGCCTTTAGGTGAGGCATCACACGTGATTTTAATCGGTACATCTGAGTCGTAGTGTACTAACACTTCATGAGACGTTAATTTTAATTTTGCCTCTTCAAATGCCTTTTCGCGCTCAGTTGTCCACTGCCATTCCACATCTTTTTTTAACAATTTATACAGGGGACTCATTATTTGAGCATAATTTTTAATAAATCTACTATAATAATTACATGCCCCTAGGAACGATTGCAACTCTTTGATGTTGGTCGGGGTTTTCATATTAATAATCGCATCTATTTTACTTTGAGCCACATGTAAGCCGTGTTCATCTAATTCATATCCCAAAAACTGAATACATTTTTGTGCAATTTTACACTTACTCGGTTTCACGGTCAACCCTTTTTGCTCAAAACGCTTTAAAACTTCAAATAGACGCTCATCATGCTCTTCTCGCGATTTTTCCGATATCAGGACGTCATCAAAATACGTTTTTACCCCGGGGATTCCGTTTACTATTTTTTCCATCTCTCTTTGGAAAAGTCCCGGTGCCGATGCTATGCCATAACTCAGTCTATTATACTTGTATAAGCCCTTGTGTGTAGTTATGGTTGTTAAGTTTTTTGACTCTTCGTCTAGCTCGATTTGTTGGTAAGCATGTGCTAAATCTAATTTCGAAAATAATTTTCCACCTTCAAGGTTTGCCAACAAATCAGCTACACGAGGAATAGGGTGTCTGTCCACGATTAAATGCGGGTTTAATGAGATTTTGTAATCTCCGCACAGTCTAATTTGCCCACTTGTTTTTAGAACAGGTACGACTGGCGTGGCCCATTCGCTGCTTTTTACCGGTTCAATTATTTTATCCTTTTCTAACCTCGCTATCTCTTGTTCTAATTTACTGCGTAGCGCGAATGGCACGGCTCTTACTTTACAAAAAACAGGATTCGTATCTGGCTTTACATGCAAAGAAAATTTTCCGCCCGTATATAATCCAATTTTATCCGAAAATACGCCACTAAATTTACTAATCAACACCTTACTGGGGCTATCTTCATTTTTTAATGAATTAATACACATCTCGCCCGTGGTCGAATTTACATGGATTATGTTTAATGGGCGTAACCACTCTCGTCCCATTATGGGCGTCTCAGTGTTACCAGGTAATACAAAAAGCTCTAGCTTCAACTCTTTATCTACGTGTTTGACTTGTACGCGTAATACTCCTAACGGTGTCAAACGTTTCTCATGGTACGTTTTGAAAACTCGTGGATTCTCAAGTAGTTTAACACGATACAAGTTGGCTTTTTCACGGTATACTTTTTCAGAAATCGCGGTAATAGGTGAGCCAGTGTCGATCTCGAAAAATAACGGCTCATTTTCAACACTCACTTGAAAACGGAACGGAAGGCTGTCGCATGCTTTGTTTACATCAGTGCTTTGTAACGCGAAAATCGAATCGAGCGCTTGACCTAACGGCTCCTCTTCTACGAAATTATGCTTCTCGGTAGTGCGACCGCCACGCGGCTTAACTTGCTGTTGCGCGCTCACGCTTGAACTGGCACTTGTTTTGTTTCGACACACTACCTGCAAATGCCCGACTTTGCCACACGCGTTGCACTTAAAATCCTTATAACGACACTCACTTTTTTGGTGGTTCGACTTACCGCAGCAGAAACATTTTTTCACATCTCCTTTATTCTCTTGCTTATTTTTCTTACCGGCACCTTTTTTCTTGTCCGTCATGAAATTTAGCGCGCTCGCTGTTGCTGTGGTGCCTCCTTGCATTCTTGCTGCATCTCGCCCAGCCGATTCCAGCGACAACGCAATTTCAATAGCCCTTTGGGAGGTCAGTTCTTTTTCTCCGAGTAGCCTCTTCTTCGTAGTTTCGCTCGAAATTCCCCAGACGAACTGATCACGCAGGTTCGTCTCAAGCCCGTTGCCAAATTCACAAAACATTGAAACTTTCTTAAGACGCGCGACGTATGCTTTGACGTCATCTTCTGGACTCTGCCTGCACTCTTTAAATCTATACCTCTCCATAATTACTGATGGAGCAGGTTGTAAGTGATTACTCATAATCTCTGCTAGTTCTTTGAACCTCATTGTCGCGGGTTTTTGCGGTGAACACAAATCACGCAGCAGCCCATACGCGTCTTTTCCCATCGAAGTCAGGAACAATGACACGTACTTTTCCCCTGGTACTTCGTTGGTAACACAATATTGTTCGAATCTCTCAAACCACAGCGACCAATTTTCACTCATTGAAAACTCCGTTAAGGTGCCTATAGTACCTCTAATCACGGTGCTCGTGCCGCTTTGCTTATCGCCGGTCATATTCAATAACTGCTTCGCCGCTTCTAACTGTCTCCTCTCCTCTTCTATCCTCTTTTGCATTTTCTTATTTTCTGCCTCCTTTCGTAACATATCATCAATAAACTGTTTCCATTCTTCTGGTGACAGCTTTTCTATCGGCCTTCCTTTATACATTTTCCTTTCAATCTTCACACTTTTACCACTCTTTTATTCAATTTTTGATATCACGCGTTTTTTTTTTTTTTTTTCCGTTGTCCTCGTCGCCAATGTAATGTTTCTGAAGGAGACGAAAGGAAAAAGGCCAACACAAGATGATGGATATGCTGGAACACAGACTTTATTATAGCACTCAGATTACAATTAAAGAGAGACGGCGGAACACACTTGAGATGTTTTCACGTGAGGCACTTAACGCGATCTGACCTGGACGCCTCGTTACATCGATAGATGACTGCTGATCAGTTCGACCTAACTACTACATATATGTCGACAGGTGGCGCTCGCATTACGTACACGACGCTATTACATATTGCACACTCACCCTTCCTCAAAGCCCCCAAAATTCCTCAGCTTGGACGGTCCTAGTAGGACCCCGCTCCTTCCCCTCCTCCAACAGCACGACCAAACACTTACCCTGGGCCCGACCATCAGCGCCAGACTTACTCACCCTTACTACTGTTATATTATACAATAGTATGACAATTCTTAATGAAAAGCAATACCCATTTTTAATGTAGATTTAAACTATATGTGCATTTTCCATAAAATTTTGTATTTTAAGACTGTTCGTGAATATTATAGTCGATGCGTATTAATCAGACATCAATGTACTGTTACGGAACAAGCTTCGGGGATTCTCGAGTAGACGGGGAGCAGGTAATTCAGATCCATTAAATAAATGGATTAAAGAGTCCGAAATATTGAAGAGAAATGCTCCGCCAAAAAGGCGGAGCAGGGGCTCGAAACTGTCAACTAAGGATTCGCGAAACTTTACGCTGACCGCTCAGCCACGACCGCCACCACGAGTGGCTGTATTAATTGCACTCTAAGGCTGCGTATACATCGAGTCTTGAACTTCCAGGGCCAGCCCATGTGCCCATGTAAGTGCGAGAAAGAGAGTAATATGTTCTTGCTTCTCACTCGCACTCACACGGGCTTATGGCTGGTCTTGGAAGTTCAAGACTCCATGTATACGCAGCCTTAGATGCACTTTATTGTGTCGTCAGTTGTACGCCGGTGTGCCAACACACGGGCGCTGGCTCGACTGGAGCAAGCCACGTCTGTGACAGTACATATAAAAGATGATTACATCAAAATAATTGTAATTTATATTAAAAATATGTTCCAATTTTCAAAAAGAGTTTGAATTTTTAGTAACATTTGATAAATTCAAACATGTTTACGTTAATTAAATTCTAAGTATAGGTATTTAAGAAAATCAATAGGAATTATGAATTCAGATTTAAAATATATCTTAAATGTGCATAAGATTTACGAACTTTTCTAATAGTACATGTAAAAATACTCGAACTATACAAGAAGCTTACTTGTTTCACTTATGTGTACCAGAAGCAGAGACAGTTTTTCGAAAAACTAACTAAAATTCACTTTTGAAAAATGTCTGGTATTTTTTGATCAAACGATTTTGTTTCAAAATCCTTCTGAATACTTACTGAGGATGGTATTTAAGATAGACGTAATATGAAAAAGAATTTTTTCAACACTCTTTTATAATTTATTTTTGAAGTCGTTTTGAGTCAGTTACAGCGGAATTACCCACATTTAGAACCATTGTAATACAAAGTTACAGCACACCAAATTCATTCTTATTTAAGAATACTTTTTCCGTAGCTTAATTCATGTTTGATAATTAAGATTCCTCACAACAGTTGTAACTAACGTTATACAAAATTTAAAAATAGTTACCTCTCTGCAAAATTTCAAGTCATTCAACGCAAAGCTCCTGCTCGTATGCTTGGCAAAATCTACCATTGACTTTGAAAATTAATTTGGATGAAAATGCTTTTATACAACTCTTATTAAAATAAAACTAACATGGTTTACAGGATAAAATTTCAAAAAGTTTTAAGTTGTAAGAAGCTAGTTAACTCGCAAATAGGTGAAGACAAAGAATGTGAAGGTAAGTTTAAATTGTGTATACGTGTATATATTGTCCTATCCCCTTTGTAAACAAAGTTATTTATTTTTTATTTTAAACGTTTCTTGAAAACATTTTAAAATGATTTCGTTGCGTTGGAAATCAATTTCAGTCGTTTCGACAAGACTCGTGTCTATTTATGCATGTATGTACATGTTTTGCTCTGTGAAACCCCTCTCTTGCATTTAACCTCATTTATAATCACTCAAGAAGTAGCCTATTGATTTATTGTAATTACAAATTAGGAAAAAACATACAATTTTGTTTACTCTTTCAATTACTTATTTACATAGGGACTGTATTTTCATGTGATGCCTGACTACTGAATCTTAAACAATCCAATAACAAATTTAAGGTAATAATAACAATGTGCAAAATACTAAAAAAATAAGTCATAAACTACAGTATGCCTACTTATGAGAAATAAATATCTTTTACTCCTTAGTTACATAAATTAAAACTTTGTTTTTCAAAATTCTTTATCAATTTTACTTCTTTAGTATAACAAAACAAAAATTTTTGAAAAAATGTGAACTCTACAAAAATGTAAGTAGTTCTATACCGTATCAAATGATAATTTTTTTGAAAAATGATAAAGAGAAAAATAATATTAAACAGAAAAATAATTATCATTTTTTCACAAATTAGGTAAACATAATAGGATGAGACACTATTTTTGGGTATGACAAGGATAACTTTCAATTAATCTTTATCATTTTACAAATTCGAGATTTTTAATACTTTTTTTTCACCGTGTGTACACGAATGAAGTATAGAATAGCACCTACGACCCTCACGTTAATTCTCGGCCAATAGTGCAAAGTGATGATCACGCGCTAAGTATGTCCATGAGTGCAGAACAACACTTGGTAAAAAAAAGATCGTGTAGTAGTAGATCGCTAGTCTCTAGCCAGTAAAGACTTATTTGTAATAACAGCTTGTAAAGACGGTAAAACGACAGTTTAATCTAAATAATAATAATTACGATTTCTCTACAAAGTGTTTAGTGCTTTTCCCTTCTTGTTATCCTTCCTGGCTTTTTCTCGAATCCTGAGAGCCTCGCGCAGTGGACTTAAAATTCAATAGGTTATGGGCCCAGGCACGCTTCCACTGTGCGGGGCTTTCTTTGTGATAAGGGACTTGCGCCGGGATTGACGCGTTTTTATTTTCCATCTAGCAACTGCTCAAATGAGTGAAAGTGAAGAAAGCAGCGTGCCAGTAAATGAGATCGGGGTCGAGGCAGAGGTGCCAGTGAATGAGATCAGGGTCGAGGTAGAGGTGCCAGTGAATTACGGCGAGACGTCGGCCAACGACAGCGAGGTTGCCCCACCTGGGTAAGAAAGTGTGGCAGAAGGCGTGGAGGAGCCACGAGCAGTGTCACCGCTCGAAGAGGCGACAAGGATGCAAGGACAGGAGGAAAGAGGCAGGACTATGAAGGACGCAGCATGCCAAGGTAATAGTGAGTCCTGTGTTGTAATTGTGTTAAGGGGCAGTCATTTTTCGTAATTGAAATTCGTTGCCTTTTTTTAACTGGGCCTAGCCCCGGAAGAGGAGGTGAGCGAGCGCACGGACGGATTGGCGGCGCTGTCCGTGGTTGCTGTTGCGGGCGGCCGAGGCGCCGAGTTGGGACCGGGGACGCCTAGCCACACCTGTGTGCCAGAATGCCGTCACCGCGGAGCAATCATGGCGGTCGGCTCGTTTCTTTCCTCTTTGTAGTCTCGTAGTACGCGCGCATGTGTTGTGTTCACATATGTGTGTGCATGTACGAGCAGCTCATGCGCCATCTTTTCCTCCTTCAATTATATCCCGACGTGCCGAACTGTATGTGTTCTACGGTTTACGTATGCGTGGGAAAGGGGTGGCCAAACCTGCCTGCTCTTCGCGCGCAAAGTGGTCACGTGTGCTGCGTGCGTGAACAACTGTGTCTCGTTGTTTACGCACGCTTGTACATTTCCATTTGTATTCCTTCTTAGAACTAAACAGGTAAACTTACGTAATGACGGCTTTATTTTAGATGAAGATGTGATCGACGCGTATATGCGACTTTTCCAACTCGGTGCGGATATTTGCGGAGAAGATCTCGTAAGAGATTTATCTGTGAGATTAGAAGACGGATCAATTATATTTGCAAATAAGAAAGAATCGATCGCAGCTATCTCAAAGGGTATTTTTAAGCCCTCAGAGTTTGACAAAATATCACGGACAATTAGAAACTCTGGCGGCGTTGTATCCCTGTCTGCAAAAAGGACTGAAAATTAGCAAGTCCCAAAATTTTTGGACTCGCTTAATTTCTCGCCCGGGTATTCAAAGAAAGCACTGTTTAAAATGACGGAACTGCAAAAGACTAAACTTCTGACTGATAAAAGGACGGACGATGAGAGTTTTGACGAAATGGATTTCGGTAATTATCGTGACAGAGTTCCAAAAGAGAAATCAGCGAGTTCAACTATCTCGGGAAAGCCGAAAATAATAAAGAATGAAAACGTTAATTTTAAATACGACAGAGAAAAAGATAAACTGGTTACTCAAAGACAAGTTATCAATAACTACTCAAGACAGGCAATTGATAAAAATGAACTTTTAGTTAGAAGGAGTGCGGCCGCGGAAGAAAGGGACAGCCTGAGACGTCGGATTGGCTGGCTTGAGGAACGGCAGAGGGCGGAGCACCAGAGTGCTGTACAGACCACAACCGAGGCCCCCGCTTGTATAAGGGCCTTAGAAGAAGCAGTGGCGACAATGTCCAGGTTGTCCGAACGACTGGAAAACTTCATGACAGCTCAAGAGGTAGGTCAATAAAATTTTGGAGTAGATGCGTTAAACTCTACTGCAATACCTTCATCAAATCAAAAACGTAAACACAAAATTAATCCACTCTCGGAAAGAACCCTGAATCGAGCACTGCATGACAGAACGACTGATCTTGATCGGAGTGAAAGGTTCCAACTCGAACTGTTAAACAAGGACTCACCGTGCCGTTACGGTTATAAATTAACTCTTAAAACAAAGATAGAATTGT